GCCGGAAACACAGGTTGAGTACACTAGAAGGTTTAAAAGGAAAGCTGAGACCGACCGAGAACAGTTGGAAAGAGAAATCCGTGAAGATTCTGAGGAACTGCTTCAAACAAACATGGATTTTGATTGGTTTTGGGTTGGTAGTGGTGAGCCTGTGTTGGTTGCGAGTTTAGGTACACTTGAAGGTCCAGCGTCTTTTGCTCCGGCAACATCTCCTGAAATGTTTTCTGGTTCTCTTGATTCTGTTTGTTTCAATCGAGGCAATGAGCATGATTTTGAGAAGATGCGTCTTGGAGGTCAAGATGTCTTGGTTTGGAAACCGGACAGCATCATTGATGATCAGAGTTTGCAAGAGCTTGATTTGGAACAAGGTTTCAAAGGTATGCAAGAGGAGGTTAGGAACTTGGAACACTGCAAGACTGGCCGCATCATCACCCAGTCAGAACCGGACGACATGAAGAAGGCTGTTCCGAACCTTCGTTTGATCCAGTCGAGGTGGGTTGCAGCTTACAAAAGCAGTGAGAGGGTTCGAACCAGGATTGTTGCGAAGGACTTCAATCGTGGCTCCTCAGCTAGATCCTTAGGATTTAGCAGTCCGACTCCTTCAATCGAGAGTGTCCATTTGGTACTTGCGATGGCAGCGACACGGAAGATGCTTTTGCGTGCATTGGACGTGAGTCATGCCTTCATGCATAGTCCATTGGGAACTGGTGTACATGTTGTCTTGAAAATGCCGTTGTCGATTAGCTTTCCATCAGGTGAAGCGACCTACTATTTGCTTGAAAAGGCATTGAACGGGTTACGTGATGCTTCACTGGCATGGTTACAGCTTCTGACATTTACGGTTGAACATGTAGGCCTTTGGTCTGATTCGTTGGAACCATGTGTGTATGGTGGACAGATTGTGAAAGATGGTCATGAAATTGGGTTTTGTTTGTGTGTGGTGTATGTTGATGACATTCTGTTGTTGTCGACCACTAAGGAAGCTGAAGAACATGTGGTTGCAACTTTGTCGTCTGTAGTGCCTGTGAAGACAACTGGAGAGATCGGAGAAGAGGGAGGATCCCTGACCTTTATTGGTCGTGTCATCAAAAGAGAAAGAGATTCCTCTGAGATCACTCTGGGTGTCGATCCACATTATCTTGACTCTACGTTTCTGGATTACGGTGTTACCCGTGGGTCTGAGAATGTTCCTGACATTTCGGGACATCTGGAGAAAACACTCACGGATAGCAACTTTCAGAAACCTTTGTCAGATGAAGCATACTCACGCTTCAGAAAGGCGTTGGGAAAATTGCTTTGGTTGTCACAGGTGCGTCATGACTTGAAGACATGGATGTCTGTTCTTGGGACACAGCAAGCGAAACCGATGCACGGAACTGAACAAGCATTGAAAGCAGTTTTGAGATTCTTGTATGTTGACATGCATGCATGCTTGTGTTTACCGAGCAGAGATGAGACCATCATGAGTCAAGTTGACGATACTCAACTGAGATCAGTCCATCTTCACTCTTTCAGCGACGCTTCACATGCGCCGTACCGTTTCAACAACCGCAAAGGTGTTAGCGGTGGAGCTGTTTTCTTTGAGAGGTCTTTGGTAAGGTCTCTGAGCCGACAGCAACAAGCTTTGAGCTTGAGTTCATGTGAGGCAGAACTTTATGGTTTGCAATCAGTGTGTCAGGAAAGTGTTGCGTTTGGAAGACTGGTTCACCGTCTTCTGTTTGCACTTCATGAGATCGATGAGCCAGAAGAAGTTGTGATCTGGCTGGAGAGCGATTCAAGCTCCGCCTTGCAACTTGTGAGATCCATGGATGTGCCACGGCGCTCACGACACATTGAAATAAGATTGCATTGGTTACGAGAGCAGATGAGAGAGGGTTTGTTGAAATTGAGACACAGGAGTGGTGTTGAAAATCCAGCAGATCTTTTCACTAAATGCTTGAGTGCCAAAGCTTTCTATAAGCATCGTTATGCTCTTGGGATTGTGGTTCCAGATGGTTTGACAGCTGAGTTGGCAGAGCTGCGTGAGCTGAGTGTGTTGCAGCAAGTGTTGACTCAGGGTTCTTCAATTGCGATTGTGGAGCTGTGTTGTTCGGAACATTCGAACTTGAGAAAGGTCTGTGAAGTTTCGAAGGTCCCATACATTGGTGTAGTTGCTAAGGTGCAGAGTTCTGGAACGTTGAGTCGTGTAGCTATTTGCATTCGACAGTGGAAGAATTCGTCATGTCCACCTTGGGTGCATATTCATGCATCGACTCCTTGTGGAAGTGGAAGTCCGCTTCGCAATTTCAATCCGGACTCAGTCACTGAAAAGGACCAGGAATGGGATGAGATCATCAACGCGATTGGTGGTTACTTCAAACATGCAGACTCATGTTCGTTTGAGCTCCCAGAACGAAATACCATTTGGTCCCGACCTGAGACAGTGAATCTTTTGCAGAGTTTTGACATGAGGCATGAGGCTTTGGTGAGGTTGTGCAAGACTGGATGTCAGAACAAGGATGGTATTCCGATTGGAAAGACATTGAAGTTTGTTTCCAATTCAGCCTGGTTTGCATTAAATCTTCACTCCAAACTTTCTACATGCACATGCCAGACTCATGCAGAACTTTATCAAATCAACTATACTGAAACAGCGTTTTACAACCGAAAGTTGGCAAGATACATTTTGCTTGCGGTCAAACATGCTTCGAAGAAGAGTTGAGTTTGCGTTTAAAAGGGGGCCCTGTGACAGAGAGAGAGAGACAGAAGTTGGATCCACGTCATGTTTCATTCAGTTTCATTTCTGTTTGCACGTTGTTTTCAAACAAACGTTGCCAAAGACAAACAGGAGTTTTCACGATGTTTCATCTTGTGCAGAGTTTTGTTGCGCGATGCTGTAAGATGCAGTGTGTGTGCGCAGTGCAGAACAATCTGAAAGGCCACTGATCCTATCACACTTGTGATGGCGGTTCGACACTTCGTTTCACGTTCTAGGTTGATTGCTCCTAAGAGTTTAGCCACAGTCTAGTGCTTTTTCACTACCGGACGCGGTTTGGTTTGTAGCCATGGCCAAGTCTGGATGGACAGATGAGGATGAGAAGGCTTTGCTTGCTCTTCTTCAGAAGAAGTGGAATAGTGGAAATTCAGGGTCAGGCTATGCAGCCGGATCCAGTGTTTTGACTCCTTTGGAGAGTCAAGGAGCAATGACAGACGGAAGCAAGCGACTTCGTGAGGCTCTGGATGATGATGAATTCGATGTGATTTCTTCGGCAGCTGAACCTTTGAATGCACAGTTGCCTGTCATGCCTATCCCAATCTTTCCTGGGATCGCCGACAAGGTTCTTGATCAGCTTACTGCTGATTTGGTGCCTGAAGGCATGAGTTTTCGAGATTGGAGCAGAACGAAGTTTGCATTTGGAAAGTTTGCCAATGAGGGCAAGACATACCGAGAGGTATATGTCGATGAAGAGATGGCAGGATATTGCAAATGGAGTATGAATCACCTGGGAAACAAGAGTACAAGTCCAATTGCAAAGGATTGGTATTCTTTTCTCTGCGCATGCAAGGTTGTGGAGGACTCTGGAAAGGTTGGAAAGCCAAAGGGTTGCTTCACTGGAACTTCAGTGCAGAGGCAGTTGGGTGATTGAAAATATCTTCATTGGTGCAAAGGCAAAGAAAAGACTATGAGCTGGTTGTTCATTGGATGGTGGACAACGGGACAACTCGTACTATATGTATTGACCTGTCGAGTTTGAGCGATATGTGCTGAATTCTGGATGGGTTACAGCGTATACCTATGGAATGGAGTTCATCTCAAAAGGGGGTGTGAAAATTTGACATCTGTGGTGAGATGAATCCATTGGTATTTTCTGCATTGGAAGAAGTGAATTTGGTTTTCATCTTGATGATGAGCTCAACCGTGATGGTTGACATCGTATTTGCACGTTTCATGTTTTGCACGTTTTATTGGAGATGACGAAACCCAACAACGCTATACTTTTCGTCTTCTTTGAGTACTTTGATTGCACGGAGAACATTGTGAGGATTTGAATTTGTATAGTGACATGGAAAATCAAACCATTTTCCATATACTTTGCTTTAGTTTTGTCGACAGAATCATCGCAGAAGTGCACGAAGGAATCGTGAGAAGATCGTAGAATTCATTTTTGTGACTTCGGAAGAAGGAACTTTGTTTGACATTGATTGGAGAAGAGTAGTGTGTTTTGTCTCTCAATGATGATAGCGAGAGCAACGTTCTGAAAGGCATTCAGAACTGGAGTTGCTAACAGATCTGAGGGAGACATCATGAATCATGTTTTGGTGCTTGAAATGTTTCAACGTTTTTCAAACACTCAAACTTATTTAAACAAACAAACCATGTCTTGATGTAAAGACTTTTTGTGAGGACATGTGTTTTTGATCGCTTTTGTGAAGTTAGCAGAAAGATGCTGACTGGCGACTCCGCATCATTTTGTGTCAAGGCGTGACACACCAACAAGAACCATAGCGACATGAGCAAGACATTTCTCCTTGTGCTTGTGTGTTTGGTAAAAGTGGCTGAGCTCTGGGAGTGGTTGACTTGGTAGCGCGGACGGTTCTAGTGAGTTAAGGACGACGTCCTGGACGCTGACCCAAGGGTTTCGAAGGTTGCGGTACCTTCTGCAAGAAGAAGAACCTGGCCCAAGCCCGCAAGTAGTCCTGCCTCTGCCTGATGACGATTTCTCCGCCTTGGAGGTGCCAGACGAAGATTTTGAGCAGTCAGAGGCAGAGGCGCCAGCAGACGAGGAGCAAGTGGACAGCAGAGCAATGGGCGCTCCGACCATGAAGAAGATCATGATCATGGGGAGGCATCTCCGGCACAGCAGCCGCCTCCTGAACCAGCGCCGCTTCCACCAGCGCAAGGGCTCCAGCCACTCAATATCGACCAAGTGCGATCATTAGATTTTGGTTATGGCGATCGTGGTCTTTCTGTTCAGCCCTGCTTGCACGCAAAGCACTGGACAGACAGGTACATCGCCAAGATGACATTGCTACATGGCACGCCAAAGATCACCTGCAAGCAAGCCTGTGACGGGCTCCGCAGTTCCAGGGACAAAGGCCGCAAAGCGCTGCCTAAAACCAATTGGATGGCCGTCATGACCAGTGCCTGCAAGGAATGCCCGATCCTCCAGCTGAGCGGTGATGAGCTGCACGTGGCCAGAATTCCAGATGATGCTGGCCTCCGTGTCCAGTACCACAACCATTTGATGACATTGTGCGGCCTCACGCTGCGTGAGCTGGTGGGTTCCATGACGCAGGCAGTGGAGAAAGCAAAGCAAGCTGCTGTCAAACATGCTGCGAAGCGCCGCAAGAAGGGGGAGAATCATGACGCAATCTCCTGACATAAGCGTGCTGCGGCCCAGAGAAAAGTGCACCAGTGCAAGTGCACCTACCCGCTTCAAACATGTGCATTGTTTTTAGAAGTGTTTTACAGATCTACAGATCATTTAAAAGCCCATAAATCAATTCGTAGGCGTAAACTTGCAAAGGGTTGGGCTTCCGTGAGGCTGAAACAGTTGGAGCCAAAACCTTGCCTTTCAATATGCAACCCTGGCTGCTTTGTATGCAGGACATGAAAGTGGTCAAGCACCGCGTGCGAGGTGACTCTGAAGGTTCTGTGAGCAAGGCTTTGCTGGAAGAGTACTTCAACAGGGCCGGTCGGGCACGGCAGAAGCGGAAAAAAAGCCGCCTGCAACCATTACCAGCTGAAGCCGAAGACGAAGGCAGCTTGCCAACTTTACTCCTTCCGGACTCCTCGCCGGAAGATTTGCAAGCAGTCACGTGCGCCACACACAAAGAAGACAGATCTGATGTGATGTTGGCAAAAACAGCTGGAATTCTCTGTGTCTGTCTCTCCTCGGGAATCATCATGCTCATGCAAGAGGTTTGCGGGAGCGAATCCTTGCCTCAAAGGTATTTCTGTCTGGCCGCCGCCAAGGCAGCAGTTCCTGAGGCAGTGCTCTTGGTTCACGATGACAGCTGCCACCTCTACAAGTATTGCTTGAAAAGGAAGGAGGCCGGGTGGCGAAGTTGAAGGACTGTTATACTTTCTCATGTTTCTCTTATTCACTGCTGGCCCTGTCACTGGACCTGTCAGGCCTCGGCAGCTGCGGCTTCCATTGCGCCCCCAACAATGAGCTTTGCCATCGACCCGTTCCACATGGCAAATCACACTGACGCATTTTGCAGGGAAACTTGCCATCCAGATTTGCCGCATCATGCTGATCGGTTGCAAGAAATTAGAACATCGGTCTGTGAGTTTACGTTCACCTGGCTGTCCGCCTACCGCCATCAAACAAAGCATATGAATCGCTTTGGCTTTTTCTTTTTCCTGCAGGAAATGGCTTGGTCGCACAATGACCATATATTTAGACAAGAAGCGACGGGAGCAGAGGCTGCGCCGTGACTGCCTAGAAAAAGGTTTCCTTCGACAAGCGCTCCGATTTTGTTTCCTTGCTCGCACACAGACTTGTAAAAATCTGTCTCAGCATCATGCGCCTTCACTTGTCCACCCAGGTCCGGAGGCGCTTTCGGGTGGAATTGTCCCTTGGCCGCATCTCATCCCGACAGCAGAGCACGTTGCCCAAAAGCCTCCACATAGACATTGAAGGCACCAGCAGCGGATTAGTGGATCATCAGATCAGCGGATCGATCATCCAGCGGATCAGCGGATCGATCATCCAGCGGATCAGCGGATCAGCGGATCATCGGATCAGCGGATCAGTGATCATCGGATCAGCGGATCAGCGATCATCGGATCAGCGGATCAGCGGATCAGCGGATCATTGGATCAGCGGATCAGCGGATCAGCGGATCATCGGATCAGCGGATCAGCGGATCATCGGATCATCGGATCATCGGATCAGCGGATCATCGGATCAGCGGATCAGCGAGATCATCGGATCAGCGGATCATCGGATCAGCGGATCAGCGGATCAGCGGATCGCAGCGGATCGCAGCGGATCGCAGCGGATCATCGGATCATCGGATCAGCGGATGTGGCGCACAACAACATCTCCGGCGTGTGGACCTCCAGAAATTCAGGGGCTACCCGGCCCGAAACGCAAGCACGAGGAGAGCGGCCTGACTGTCTCCTGCGACGCCCTGATGTCTGCTCAGACGAGCCAGACGAAAGCCATAGAGGTCAACCGAGCTTTGGATGAAGAATTCAGAGCAAAAAGGCGGCCCTGAAACCAGTGGATGTGGCCCCTTTCTCCTTGTGGCCGGCAGAGCTGCAACAAGCCTGGCGAAACAACTTGTTAGCACCAGCTTCGGAACCGATGGGGCCCTGATCAGATTGATTTCGGCAACTTGAAGACGGCCTATCTCCAGATGAAAGAGCTCTTGGGACAACCAATGTCCCATTCCGGGCCACCGCCTCTTGCAAGAGTTTCCAACGACCCAGCTCGACCTGTACACCTACCCCGAGGGGGATGAGGACTCACTGGAAGGCCGGTTGGCACGTCGCCTGCCGGAAGATAGCCTGGAACGCAAACTCGCACAATGAAATCATGGCCCTGGAAACCCGCACCAACCCCATTGGGGACACCACCTATGTGCCCCAGACCTTCGCGCAGACCGAGGTTTTGGAACAGATCAAGCAGGATAAGCGTCCAGACCTTGAGCAGGCCCTGGGGTTCTTCTGGGCACTGGGGACGGCAGGGGACGGCAGTAGTCCAAGGCACTGACCAGAACCACTTTGTCCGGAGAGTCCAATCTTGGGACATCCCCTCCATGATCACGGTGCTGGGCCAGACCTGGACCTTCAAGCAGATCTACCAGGCCTGGTCGCTGATGCTCTTGGTGGTGAAGCCGGCTCGTCGAGGTATGGGCGAAGGGATTCGTCAGAAGAAATCCCGTGAGATGACCGCCCACAAGCAGAAGACGACGGAGATCAAGGGCTTCCTGGAGACCCTGGGCATCCGTTTCCCCAAGACACAGCGCCTCCTCTACAAGGAGCTTGGCAGTTTCATGGCGGCCTCTGTCTTTTTGGCCCACACGCCAGCTGTGGTGATGGACCTCCCAGAGAAGGAGATTCAGGACAGCGAGGAGCAACTCCGTTTTCGTGCTGTGTGAGATGAGCGTATCATGCTTTTGTGGAGGCCTTCAAGTCGCTCCCTGGCATCTTTGACAAGCTCTCGGCGGCACTGGGGTCCCACAGCATGGTGCAGGTTCAAGTGCGCTGCAACTGCGATTTGTGGTGGGTGGCCCTGGCACCGGGAGACCAGGCAGAGGCCTTCTACAAACACCTGGCCTGTGGCCAGGCCGAGATTGAGTCCTTCCTCCAGGGGGCGTTGGAACCGGAGGCTCAGCAGGCGGCCGCGGTAGCCCCAGGCACCGGTGGGTCCCCTGAGCTCTCCTTGACCAATGTGCGCTCGATTTGCAGCCCGAAGTACAAGAAGCAGAAGTTTGGGCACAAAGGGGTCGGGCCACTCCGACTGCAGCATCAGCCCCTGGGAAGGAGAGTGGAGTTTCTCGAGGAGGCTAGGTGTGCCCTCCAAAAGAAAGGGAGCATCCCGCTTCGTCCAACTGGTAGGAGACCTTCCACTAGGACTTGCTTGCAACCATGGAGAGCACAAGAGACCCCCTGACATGCAGTCAGGAGACCCCAGCCGTTCTGATGTCAGGGCTTGCAGAGGCAATCCAGGTCAGCTTATCGGAGACAATAGACCCACCACTGGGGCAGTCCCCCCTTGGTGAGCCACCAAGCAGGACTGATCGCGCCAAATCGCGCCTCATCAGTCCCACTGTCCCAAGCAATGGCAGTTGAGGATGGCCCCATCATAGGTTTCAAGACCAGACCCCTCAGAGATGGTGGCGGCAAACCCTCTCCGGGGCGGAGACCCCCACCACTCAGGCCAAGTTCCAAACTTGAACAGCTTGGGGAAGCGATGGCTTCCCCGGCACAATCCTGTGCCCAACAGGTCCAACAGTCATTCGGATGAGTGGGCCAATTTACATTACGGCCACGTGGATCTGGACAACTACGAGCGGATGGTTGCCATCTCCACTGCGAATCAACAGCCATTGATCAATGCAAGGGCAACTCTTCGAGAGCGATACAACAATGCTGCTCTTCGCGGAAACTGGGAGGAAGCAGCAAAATACGTGCGAGCAATCGAGGAGGTGAAGGCCATTGATGGATATCGAATAGCCGTGGCAAAGCGGTGAATGCAAAGTGGTGAGCAGTGTTTGCATGAGTCATGGCAGCCAATGCGACACTCCTTCTGACGGAGAAACCCAAGCAACTGAGAGTGTTTTTTTTTTCCGAGGTGCCCAAAACTCAGAGACCATATGTATAGGAATTGCATGTAGCACAGATGGCCATGGTGATAAGTCACAATTTGCATGGACACTTCATTACAACGTGCGGCAAGCAATTTGAAATTCCTTGCCAAAGTGGGGTGTCACAATTCAGTTGATGCACTCATGTGTAGGTTTGCAGGTAAACAGGTCTCCAGTTGGCACTTGAAACGCTACGGAAAAGATGAGCATAGTCAGTTGCTCAGATGTCTTGATGACGCACACAAATTAAGAAGTGAACCTTGGATGCAAGTGGCTCGAACTAGCATGAGAGAAAAGGGGCGCACTGAGTGGCGCCGCAATTCTTGAGAATTTTTGTGGAAGCCTTGCGCGAGCCGCCCCGCCGTCCGACACAGAAGCCCTGCGGCCAACTCAAGTGCCGCCGTCCGACACAGCCCCTCCGCGGCCAACCGGCCGACTTGGTGCCGCCCAACAAGCACACCCAGCCCCGCCCGCCGACTCACCGCAGCCGACACAGATAAACATGTCTTTCATTGCAATACTTTTGGCCTAAGATCATCAAAAATCTGGGTTTTGGGAACTTTTCCTGGGCCTTAACTAACCACTTGAATGCAAACAGATCCCATTGGTTGTCGTGAACCTATTTTGCAAACAGATCCCCAAATCTTCAATTTGAGCTGAAGTTGGCATCTCTAGGTTTTCACAAGCAGCAAATGGCAAAAAATGGAACAGAATGCCAGAAAATGCTGCCAGCCCACAAAGTGCTGTTCGACTATTTTTTTTTTCGGGGGATCCGCCATCCTATGGCTTTTGAAATCCCTGGCGTTGACGCTTATACAATACCGGTTTCCTAGGTCATGCCATAGACAGAATACAGGAAAAACGCATCAAAACTAGATGGTGCAAAATACAGGAACATTGCACTTTTGTTGCAACCATGTAAAGCTGTCCACAGGAAATTCTATACATAAAGACTTGGTGCTGGTTCACTTTTGGTTATGATATGGACAGTGCATGCCATAAAAAATCTCGTTCAAAGCAGCTTCTGATCCTACTCTCTTCAACCTGGATAGGTCGGTGCGTGTTGCGCGTTAATTGGCAAATTTCATGGTTGGACCAGCTAGGATCATGACCTCAGTCATGGCACAGCAGTGCATGTCGCAAATAAGACACAAAAAACATAATGTTTCCTGATGCACTTTTCTGAAACAAAATTCTGTTTCTGAGGCTAAAGAACATCTGGAAACTAAGTAACCAACAAAGTTGTCACAGAAAACACATCCTAAGAGGTGCCAGAAGCTGGATGCTTTCATCGATTTGCCACAACCTCAACATATATGAAACATACATAACTTATATGCACCGTTCCCTTAGGTTGGATAAATAGTTACCTTTGTTATCTTTCCTGAATTGCATAGTCGCATAGTTGTCCGATAAAAATAAAGTATATAGACTATTTTAGATTCTGCTGGTCACATCTTGTGTTGATTTCCCTTTCCTCATGACGGGCAACACAAAACATTGCCGCGGCCAACGCCAAAAAAAACCATCGAATCTAGTTGTTCAACTGAGTGCAAGCGTTTCTTTGCTGTTGGTGATTCTTACCAATATCCAAGCAGTTGAATCTCATCTTTGGTGCTAACATGGACTGACTGCCTTTAAAATCTTCAAACTGGTACTCTTTAAAATGCCGAAAGTAGTACATCCAGAAACTTAGTCTTCAGATTTATCTTGCGGATTTGCTGGATCTACTTTCGCGTGCTCTGACTG